TTGGAACGGCATTTTTTATTAGATTGTAGCCCTTAAGGACAGGGCTTGTGCCTTGTTTATCTGTGTAGCTTACTGTATGGCACATGGTCAAATGTGAATAACTGTTGGGCAAAGAGATCTGCAGGAAGGTAAATATTTAGTAGCATTTAATCTTGTGGGTCAATGATATTGAATGTGGTGGATAACTGCAGTGGGCCACCTGTGCAAATCTGTGCCAACCTGGACGCCAGTGAGTGTTGGCATGAGATAGTCCTCCTAAGACCCCTTGCAGAACTGGCTTTGGTACCACAGACAGAAATGCTGAATTCTCTTGGAGTCGGAATTGATACTTTTTATCAAGACCTTCAGCCTAGGTTTAAGTAGACCCATTGGTTTTTAGGCACATTGGAAAAATTGAAAAAACAACACAAACCCAACAATGAAATAAGGCTGATCATAGAGATTTGAAAGACCTGGCGTCAGCCTTGGTCTCGGAGTTACTCTCCATGTAACCTGGGGCAGACTGGTGGTGAAAGTGCTGGGATAAGTTGAAATGGCTCCACAAAGAATAATGTCCAACTGTTGCTCATCACCAGGACAGTTATTCCACCCAAGGTGTCATTGTGACTGAGCAATGTAATGAGCAGGTGTAGAAGGAAGTTGTTACCATCTTATGTGGCGTCATGTAACTTTATTATCAACCAAGCCAGCGGAGTGTACATTTGTAAATGGATCCCGGTCCTGATATAAACTACAATAAGAAATGGACAACCTTTGTTTCCAGCAGGGGAGCAGCCATGATTCAGACAGAAGAGTCACAGAGTCTCTGAGAAAGGAGGGTCTGTTGAGGCTGCGTGCGTGTGTGTGCATGTGTGTGCGTGTGATGTCATGTTAAGAAGAATCCATCTTGTGTTTAATGCTGGAGAACAGGAGGAAGCTATAATCACCGTTCTTGTGGGCGCCTCCCCAATGTCCCTCTTGAGACACTGTCTGAGGCTGATGGAGTTAGTTAACCGTCCCTGTGCCGGTCCGTCCCCGAAATGCATGCTTTTTGTGCATTGGAAAAAGTTAGCTTGTGAACTGAGCTTTCTTGTTCCATGATGGACAAATTTCTGAGTTTCTATGACATTTGTCACATCTCCAGTGAATATACCCATCTTTGAGTGTTAGCTGATTTCTTTGATCAAGAAGCATCATAAATATAACTAATTAACCTGTCTGCCTTTTCAAAAAGAACATGAAAAATAAGAGCAATATTCCTCATCTTGTCAGGAAGGAAGTGAAAGGCTGGGGAAAAAAAGCCTGCCATTAAATAAATTCACTATGGAATTAGGAAAACATCCCTGGCATCCTTGCCCCGCCTGCTTCCTGTTAGAGTCCTGTCACAGGCTAAGAACCAGGTGAGGGTGGATTTAACAGCAAGGCTGTGTGCCTGACCCGCTCCCCTTTTCCCCACTGAGCAATGGGTGGTGTATGCACTTGTTTGCTGTTCCCTTTGATAAATTCTGGCTATTCAGAAGCCACCTGCACTTAGAGTTGGAAGCCATTGGCTTGAATGAAATATGACCTTCAGTTATGCCACAGTCAGAGAAGCTGAAATAGGAAAGCTAAACTGGGGGGCGGGTGTCAAGTTTCATTTTCTTAGAGGGACGTGGGCACATAGAACACAGCCCAGCATCCACCCCTCACACATCCCCCGCCAACCTGGGTGTGTGTGTGGGACCATCCACCCCCCTCTCAGCCGCCCACAGAGCCTCCCCTTCTATATCGTGGACACCCGGACAAAGTGGAAATGCCAATCTTCTCGCACCCGTCTTGCTGTGTTAGGCCTGGGATCAGCCTCGAGCGATTTCTTAGGGGAACTGGCTTGCTTTCCCCTAAGAACATCCAGGGAAAGGTTCGCCTCACCTCTTGCTTCCAAGTGGGAGGGTTGAAAATAATAGCTCTTGTCACTCCCCTTAGCCTTGTTATGGGGAATATTTAGTGCTGGAGCGGGATGTGGGGGCAACATCTTGGATGTGATAATGTTGCTCCCTGCATCAGTGAACATGGTATTGATTGTGAGCTGTCAGCCTTTCTGCACGCTTTGCAGGGTCCCAGAAGACTGACTGCTGCTGGGGGGGTGATGCATCAGGCAGGGACACGTGCTCTATTAACTGCGGCTGCACCCTGAGCTCCGCCGCTTGTTCTTAACACATCTTGGCTCACTGGCGCTCCATTTTTTTCTTTTTAATTCCTTGACTCCTCTGGGCAGTGCTGTGATGCCATATACCAGGTTCCTCGTAACTCAAACTCCCTGATCATCTTGTAAGCTTCCTGAGGGCACAGGCTGTGCCTGTCTTCCTCACTCCCTCCCTTATTTGTTCATTCCTTCAACAAATACTGATTGAGCACCTACTATGTGCCAGACACTTCTCTCTGCTCTGGGGATATGAGAGTGGATGAAATGCTTCAGGCCTTGGGGAACGTAGGGTGGTCAGGAAAGGCTTCTCTGAGGAGGTGACACTGAGCGGAGTTTATTGATATGTCCTCTGTGCCCGGACCATATGCATTTGCTAAGCTATGGAAACCATAATTTCTCAGTCAAGCGGCTCATAGCCTGGCTATTGGAGAGCCCTGGTGTGTGAGCCTCATTGAGGCTGTGCATTATTATGTCTCATGTCATGTGTTATTGTCCCTTTACGTCTTCTTATCTTGGTCTGCATTCCTGATTTTTTTTTTAATCCTCACCGGAGGATATGCTTTCATTGATTTTTAGAGAGAGAGAAAAGGAGAGGGAGAGAGAGAGAGAGAAACATGGATGTGAGAGACAAACATCAATTGGTTGCCTCCTATACACACCCCATCTGGGGATCGAACCTGCAATCTGGGTATGTGCCCTGACCGGGAATGGAACCCCCATCCTTTCGGTGTATGGGATGATGCTCTAACCAACAGCTACACCAGCTAGGGCTGCATTCCTGTTTTTCCCAGTATGAGAATATTGTGTATTTCTTAAACACACCAGGTGCTTTTTCCCCTTTTTCATATACAATCTCGGCACCTGGGCTGCTCTTTCCCTTTTTCTTCACCTGGATCACGTACTCCTTACTGATCTGTCAGGTTTACCCTAGGAATCGCTCCTCTGGACGAGGGGTGCTTTCTGCTCTCTCCCGGCGCCCCGTTGTAGCCATCACAGCACTTAGGCCGGTTTACAGAGCTGGGAGAACAACAGCAAGAAACACACACTGAGTGTTTGTTGTTGCCCACACACCATTCTGAGAGCTCTGTTATATTAAATCACTCAATCTTCACAGCAATTTTATGATATAGGTGCCATTTATATCCTTATTTTCATCAATAAGCAAATTGAGACCCAGAGAGGTGAAGTGATTTGCCAAGAGTTCAGCCTGTGAGTGGAGGAGCTCAGAGTTCCACCCAGCAGGTGCCCCAGACTCCACACTGTAACCTTCTCCTGCTAACATCACCTGCATCCCCCATGGCAGTGTACGCCCTGCTTCCCGGACCACTCGGCACAGGGCTTGCAGGTAGTACAGATTGACCATGAAATGTTTGAGTGAATGAATGACCGCATTCATGAGTATCACCCAAGCGAGCGAGTGTTTGGAGTGCCAAAATACTACTTTTCCTCTGCTAATGAGGCAGCCCCATCCCCTCCCTTCTACTTCAGCTTCCCTCGGGTTCTCTTCAGCTCACAAGAAGTTACTGCTCTGGGTGGGAGGGAGTGTATCATTAGCTGCCCAGAGCAAGAATGCACATGACAGTGGCCGCCCCCACTTCCCTGTGGTATCGGTATCGGCACAAGGATGAGCTCTAGAGAAATGCTCCTTCCACTCTTGCTCAAACCCAATACAGCAGACCACATGGGGGGTCCTGAGCTGGGTCAGTAGGCAGGGCTTTAGGGCAACTGTCCGTCTGAGAGACCAAGGTTAGCTTTTCAGGATGAGGGGTAGGGAGTGGACTGGGGATCTGTCACTAAACCCCCGGTTCTGGCCTGGCAGCGATCATTAATTTGACAGCGTCCAAGGCCGGAATAGGCAGAGAAGGCAGGTCACCTTGTCCGGCCACCAGCAGTTTAGCTAATGGGGCGTGGAAGATCTAAATTGGGGATGGTTAAAAGGTAATAAAAAGGTCCAGGTCAGAGGTTAGAGGCCTCTGGGAGCTACTTGACTTCACTCTCTGCTTTGGTGACCAGATTTGTATTCCTGGGCAGCTGTCAGGCAATATTCGGTCGCAGAGAGATGGCGTGTTTGTGAGCGTCCTCACTAGTGGAAAGAGACAGGACAGGGCAGCTCTGTGTTACCCATCACTGTGGTGGGAGAAGCACGGACCCGGGAGGGGACAGCTCCAGATCGGACTGTGGCTGTGTCACCGCGGCGGTGCCATCGAACCCTTTTCAGTCTGTTTCTCAGCTGTAAAAATGGAATCATATATTTACCCGTCAGGGGGTCGTAATGGTTTTAAAAAGTGCCTTGCTCAATGGCTGTCACATAACAAGTACATATGGTGTCCTTTTACTCTATTTATTTTATAGTTAAATATTGTACCTGGGTCTAGGGGCTTCATAACTATTTGTTATTGGATGCACGAAAGAAAGAAGGGCCAGGCCAGTTCTGGCAAATTGAAGTGTTTCTAATTGAATTAGAAAGACATTCATTTCACGCTGCCGTGCATGCAGCATCCACACTTGCTTCAGACCTCACCTGTGATGTTCTCTCTACTAGAAATGCCATAACATGCTTGGTCTGGTGGGCAACCTGCTTTACAATTCTGCTTATGTGTTGCTTATTCTGAGAAACCTTTTGCTTTTCAGTCCTTTGAATTCACTGTGTCTCCTTCCCAGAGGTGTGCCACATTGAACCTTCTGGAAGTTTTAGTTTGAATCTTCAACTTGGGGGAAGGACGAACCAGCCTCCACAGGTTTAAGCCGACGTCACTCTAATGTCAAAGCATCTCCATTCCCCCGGATTCCATTTTTTTTGCAGATGGTGAGCTTGGGGAGGGTTAGAAGTGCTCGATTAGACTGTACAAATCAGCATTTTTATTGGCTGTATCGGTTCTAGCGACAGTGGAGATCGATGGGTTGTTCCTTTTGGTTACCAAACCCAGGAAGAGGGGAGGGGGCCTGTTCAGGAGACACGCCCGAAAAGGACAGGCCAGCCTTGCTCAGGGAGCCAGGGCTGGTCCCCGCAGCCTCCAGCTTCATGCAGAACGCCAGCTAAGAAACAACCAGGGCCCGGCCTTTAGAAGTCAATGGAGTAAGTAAGCTAGAAAAGGGTGAAGAGAAAAAGCCAGGGAACGTGTAAGTAGAGGATTATATGGAGCCATTTAAAATGACAAAAAGCAAGAGGAACAGAGCGGCTGATGGAATCTGGCCCCCGTGGCCTTGCCAAGCCAGCCCTGAGAAGCGCCGTGTGGAAGCGCTCCCTTTATGCCCCCTGAAGCACTCGCGGTGCTTCCCAGCCAGATTCTCAGGCTCTTTCTATGGCGCTTACAAATGAAAGACTATAGCAGTGCTGATGCGGTCCTCCCCTTCTCATTCAGCATCCCCTTCACAGCCTCATGAGATAAATCTCTGGCTCAAATGAAATTGTTAAAAAAGAAAATGGCAAAAAAAAAAAAAGTGCTGTTGGGGCAGGAGATGCTGACTAGTTCTTTTTTTTTTCTTTCTCACAAAACAAGGAGCATTTCTCTAAAGAGTAGAGTAAACGGTGTTTATTTTTTTGTTGAATTTTTCAATCAAAGGGAATTGTTTAATTAAAAAAAAACGTATCCCTTTTCACTTTAAATACTACAGACAACCTCATTTTATCTCAGCAGACACCTAGCAACAAAACACGGGACCCACCAGAGAAAACTGGGCAAAGAAAAGCATCAGAAATTCAGGTCAACTATGGAAGAATTACTGTTAGCTGGCAGCTCTCAATTCTAAACAGAAGTGTCCGGGACCTATTGGGTTGGACAAAAGTGTCTTAGAACTGGGGATATGGGAAAGTTGGACTCCTTTGAATTCTATCCCAGTTGTTTTCCGTGTAGGGAAATGAAAGTCAATGCATCAAATGAAGACCCAAAGAAACATTTAAAAACATGTTTGACTAGTATTCAGTATGTGAGATTATTAAGCAATAATAACTTGTCCTCCTAGTTAACCTTGTCCTGGAATATATATAGGTTATTTGTAGCCGCCACTGCTATAATATTTTCTGAAGGATGCCAAGCTGTATGCAAGATCTTTTTGCTAAAGTCCAGGCTATCGACGCTGATCTCGTCTTTTCTCCGCTTGCCCCCCACGCACACTTTTCGAGGTTTCAGGATAGCCCGGGGTTTGCTGTTTTCCCTCGAGGCCTCCAGGGTGACATCACGCTTGGTGTTTCGGTCAAACATCCTGAAGAAGTTGTTGTAGGAGCCGGTCATGATGACGCTGAAAGGCAAACGGTGCAACTGAGTGCTGTGGGGAAAGGGCCGTCACACGTCCCTACGGTGCCTTTCTAAAGCAAGCCCCACCACTCTGTGGCCTGCTGATGGCACCATACATTTTATTAAAAACAAACACCCAAACAGGCTCTAGAGTGCGAATGCTGATGTCCTTCGCAGTCGCCAAGAGCAACAAGCCTTGGACCTGGAAATACGGATCGTGATAAGCTTCCTTGTTAATTACTGCTGTTCCCTAGATTCCTTGCTGTTCTGGGGCTCAGTCAGTGAGTCACAGGGTTGTGGGGCTCAGGATTGTGAGGCTGGAGAAGGTGAGGAGAGCAGGAGCACTTTGAAACCATGAAGCACTGTGCATATTTAAAGCTGACCTCGAAGGCCCTCCCCAGCTGTGGGGCGTTAGGATGGGCTGGTGAGCTGCTTGCGTGGCTAGACGGATCAAACAAGGTGGACAGTGGCACCAAACAGGGCCCAGTAAGTGGCGGAGTCCCATTTTCTAACATTTTTATGTTGTTTATGTTAAATAACATATATAACATTCTGTTATTTAATCCATGGTCAGGATTAAATAACGTAAGGTGTGTGAAGGTGCCTGGTACACAATAGGTGCTTAATAAGCGTAGTTTTTGAATCTAGGCTAAGATAGAGGGGGAGTGAGAGCAATGACAACAAATACACAATAATATGTACAATTAATAAACAAATACATTATATATAAATAAGTAATAAAATAACAGGGCTGGCTAGCTTCTTTTCCCTGTAGGAGCTTTTGTTCATATATCACAATTGCTTTTCGCTCTCCTCCCCCTGTCCTATGCCAGCTGGATGGTCTGACTTGGGTCCTCTGCCATAGGGCGATTTCTTCCAGGCTATGTGGAGGGCGCTCTGGTTCATTGGCTAAGAAGGCCGAACAAGGGACAGGGACAGCTCCTGCTCACTAAAGGCGAGACTCTCCGAGTGCTTTGGCACCATCGATTTCTGTGCTTCTAGGGCAATACTGTAGTGCTGGTGCCGCCTTCACCAGGGACAGCCCCTGGAAGCCTGAGCCAAGTTCTCCTGGAACTCAGAGATTCATCTGTATTTGTCAAACTAAAAATGAACTATTGGGAGGTAATATGAAGCATTGTTGAAATCAAAGGCCTTAAAACAGTAATAAATCACGTAGAGGGAATGTGATAAATGGGCCCGGCTAGCATTCAGCTAATGAGCCGCCGGGGCCTTTGGCCAAGTCTACACTAGCAGCTTCAAGAAATAATTTTCGATCTAGAAAGTTTGCAGTCACGTGAACCGTTCGTGCTGGGATGTGAGGGAGGATCATTAGTGCTCTCCATTTTCGGCATGCTGGCCTGGCCCTGGGGGGTCTTGTGTGTAAAAGATCAGATTTTCTCGCTGATGTCAAAGGGTCACCTGCGCGGTCCTGAAAGAGGAGTCAAGGGTCTCACTACGTCCTTCCCTTCTTCCCAGGCCTGACCCCAGGGGCATCTGGTGACCCACACAAGGCATCCCTGCCAGGCCTTGGGACCTGACATTGACATCCATGGAAGAGAAATCACCCAGGCCTCCGCCAGGAGAGGGCCGGCCTTTGGGAGGCTCCTGGCCACTGAGCCTTTCTTACCTGTCTGACCCATTCCACACGCACTCGAATTTATCAAAAATGCAGTCGTTTTCGTAGAGGGAGCACAATTTGCTGCGGAGGTAGTCATGAACCTGAGGAAGAAATACATCAACGGAGTCAATTATTTTAAAAAAGGATGATGTCTGTGAATACCTCCTCTGTTGACGTGAGCTGTTAATTCTTTCGGTGTAAACGCGCCTCGATCCAGGTGGTCCTGGTCTGAAACCAGGCGCGGCCCTTTCCAGCTGCGGGGCATTAGGATGGGCTGCTTATGTGGCTAGAATGGATCAAACAAGCTTGGTAGGTGGGCAGTGGCACCCAACAGGGCCCAGTAGTAAGGAGTGGTGGTGATAATAATAGGCGTACATAGTATGTTACTTGTTATTAGCCAGGTGCTTTATCCATAAAATCTCATCTCAGGACGTAGGGACCATCATTCACTTCATTTTAATGAAGCATGAAGTGCAGGGTATGACATCATGTGTCCAAGATCACACAGGAAAGAACATGACAGGATGGGAACTGAACCCCTGTATTCGGGTTCCAGGGCACCCACTCTCTACTCTAGCAATCTGCCTCCCCCACTCGCTCTGCCTCATTAGCCTCACCGTACTATAGTACACGGGGTCTCAGTCCCACACAGAAGCCGCGATAATGACCTGAGATGAGGCCAACGGGGAGACAGACCTGGGTGAAGGTAGAAGGATGGTAGGAAAAGCATGTGTCACTGTGTTCAGATTTAGAGTGATGGTTCGTTCTCCCTTGTCTTGCAGCCTGGGCCCCTCGCCTCTCCTGAGTCCAGAGTCCAGCAGGATGCTGACCTCAGGTGCAGCTGTGTGCTGAGTACTGGACAAAGGACTGAGGTAAGATTCATCCCATGTGGCCTTACACGTTTTGGGTATTTACAAGCTTGCTGAGTCATGGGACAGTGTATTGCTAACTGCAAATCAATTTCCTCCACTGTGGCTCTGTTGTTCCCCCAAGGTTCTGGGCCTTGCCAGGGTGTCTGCTTCAGGGCTGTGGGTGGAGAAGGGGGATGCAAGAATGAGACTTGTGTTCTGTATTTGGTATCTCTGCTGCAAATTAACTAATTCTCTCCCTTTCTGCCACCTTTGGGGCATATTGAAGTGGCTCAGAAGGCCATTTCTGTTTGTAGGGATGAAAATCTTGAGTGATTGTTAAGAATTTTTTAGCATAAAACCAGAAGAGCATCTGAGGGCAAAAGAGGGCTGATTCTGGGTATTGACCAGGGGCTGGCAAACTTTTTACAATATAAAGGGCCATATGGCCTCTGTTGCAACCACTCAGCTCTGCCCGGTAATGCAAAAGTAGCCACAGGCAATACATAAACAAATGAGCAGGGAAGTGTTCCAGTAAAACTTTATTTATAACAACAGGTGGCAGACAGGATTGGTTTCTGGGCCATACTTCTGTTTACTCCATGTCTTGACTGTTCTCCCCATCCCCTCAAAGCACCACAGACTACTTTCTATGAAGAAGGTGATGGTGGAGTTAAGGGACTCAGCACTGGTCTCGTTTCTAGAAAGTGTTGATTCTGGCCTTTATCACTGACTTGCTTCTGGGCTGTGTGTAATGCGTGGGGGAAGGAGAGGAGTTGGACTGGGAGTGAATCCAGGGGGCAATGGGAGCCAAATCTCTGATCCCGATGCCCCAGCTCTCCTGCTGTTGGAGGGGAAAGATGAGCAAACAGATGCTTAGCCTTCTCTCCTCCTCCCTCTTATCTGGTGTGGAGCACTTTTTAAAAAAATATATATTTTATTGATTTTTTACAGAGAGGAAGGGAGAGGGATAGAGAGTTAGAAACATCGATCAGCTGCCTCCTGCACACCCCCTACTGGGGATGTGCCTGCAACCAAGGTACATGCCCTTGACCGGAATCGAACCTGGGACCCTTGAGTCTGCAGGTTGACGCTCTATCCACTGAGCCAAACCGGTTAGGGCTAGTATGGAGCACTTTTAAGGCAAGGCACAGATGTGAGTATTCTAAGAAGGGGAAATAAGTTTTGCAAACCCTTGGTTAAGCAGGTTTGTATAATGCAGCACTTCTCAGAGTCCCACATTCTTCTGCTTCACTATGATCATCCAACTTCCTTCCTTTGGTAGGAGAAGTATCAACTATTATCTTTAAAATAATTAGGATTTTGATAGGGAGGGAGGGGATAGAGCAGTAAGGTTTAGAAAGAGGGTTGTGGTATGCCTTTTCAGGCCTGACCCAGGCTGTCCTCTCCTTGATGAACCTTTCCTGATCCTTCACCTTTGCTTATAGAAACAGCACAGGTGAGTAATAAGTGTCAGAATGTGTGAGCTTTGGAAGTATGGGCCCATTAGTGGGAACCACACCATCAGTAACTCAATAAATAATTTTTAAATTTATTTTTCTGTTACAGTTGACATGCAATATTATATTAGTTTCAGGCACAACACTATGCTTAGACATTTCTATAACTTATTAAGTGATTACCGCAATAAGTCTAGTACCCATTTGACACCATATACAGTTATTACAATATTCTTGACTGTATTTCCTTTACATCCCTGTGACTATCCATAAGTAATTCCTGAAGGATAAAAGTCAGGAAGGATTTAGGGGAAAACCTTGTCTGAACTAGTATTTTCTCCTCCCAGCATCGATATTCTGGGAAGCTCCTGCCTGCCTCCAACTGAAGGCATCTGAAGGAAAAGAAGAGCTACTGTGAAGGTATGTTGCATTTATGTTCTGTTGTTAAAAATCTTAGGCAAACAAGATGCATCTTTCTCCATCAGAGGCAAGAATGAGGTAAGATATATACACGAGAAACACTTAGAAAACAGAGCAAGAGAGAACTTAAAATTCATCTTATTCGATGCTTCATGTTCCAAATATTATTTTGCTTCTGTGTTCATATTAGATTGTGTTTGACCTTTTTGACACTGAGTCTTCCAATCCAGGGGTTCTCAATTATGTACTTGTGGAAGTCTGATGTTGGTAGTTAATGGTCTGCTCACGAGGCCTACCAAGAGCAGACTCTATTGGTTTGTTCTTATATTTCAGGGGTTGACACATTTTTCCAGTAAAGGGTCAGATAGTAAATATTTTAGGTTTTGTGGGCCACATGGCCTCTGTCACAACCACTCAACTTTGCCATTGTAGCATGAAAGCAGCCATAGACAATATGCAAAATAATTGGGTGTGGCTGTGTTTCAATAAAACTTTATTCACATAAACAGAGGCAGGGCTGGATTTGGCTCACAAGTTGCCATTCCTTCTTCTATAGGAAACCCTGAAAATAGCTCATCATATTTAAGTCTACAGCTCAGGGCAAGCCTTAGTAATTGATTATGGGATTCTTTCCCATTGGATCAGGCCTCACAGTCTTTTTTCAACAGTGTTTTAGACACTCAATCAGCATTTATTTACCATCTTTGATATAGTATATAAATGTAGTGATATTTCATTTCAATACGTGTGCTAAAATATCTATTTCTTAGGTAAACATGGTTTGAAAACCATGAACTTAAAATGCTGGTTACTCCATGTCCCTGCTAGCTAGCTGTGTTCTAAAAGCCTTTCCCTAAAATGAAAGTACTAATTGCTCTCACCGCTGTGTCACCGGAATCTACTTCTCTCTAATCAAGGCTCTGTCAATACCACCCATGCTCAGGTTCCAGTTCCCACTGCCGTCTGTCTCTTTTTTGTGTTAAAGTTTGAAACACGAGATGGTTTGTCTGTGCAGCTGGAAGAGGACACCTATGGACTGAAGATGGAGGACTGTGAGTGAGAGCTTGGGGCAGGTGCTGCGGAGTTGGACCTTTAAGTCTGGGTATGCTTTGGGGGACAGTAAGACCCCCAATATACAAGGGGATGCTCTTTGAACCACAGGGGTAAACAAACTATCTCAACTCCATACGTGGTCTTGAATTCTGGCCCTCAGACCTGTTACAGCACCCTCTGGAACTCACAGTCAGTCATTAAAGTCCTGGACGTCCTCAACCTCCTCTCTGAACTTTTCCTCCTCCTTCTGATGGAAAGATCTGCTTTTCCTAAGGCTGCTCACGTGGTGGCAGGACTTTTGCTCTCCTGGGACAGGGTGGGCTCGTTGGTGCTCCACACAATTGTTACTGCCTAGAATCCTCAGCTCCTTGAAGCCATGCCAGCAAACTCAACTCCCTGATACCCATCCTTTTTACAGTCCCCAGAAGTTCCCTGAGCCTCTCTTTTTTTTTTTTTTCTTAAGTGATAGGGAATTGGTCAGTGGTTACCTCATATCAACCTTGGGAATCAGTTCATGTTACTAATGATTTTCAGAGGCATAAGCAAGAAATGACCAAGGACAAGTTAGTCTTGCAAAATAAGCTAAATTATGCTTTATCTTTTAAAAAATCTATCTTTATTGTTTTTTGTTTTTTTTGCATCTTATCCATTTTATTTATTTATTTATTTTTTAAATCTTTATTGTTCAGATTACATTTGTTCCTCTTTTTTTTTTCCCCCATAACTCCCCTCCTCCCAGTTCCCACCCCACCCTCCGCCCTCACTCCCCACCCACTGTCCTCATCCATAGGTGCACGATTTTTGTCCAGTTTCTTCCCGCATCTCCCATTCCCCTTTCCCCCCCAAGAATAGTCAGTCCATTCCCTTTCTATGTCCCTGATTCATTATAATCACCAGTTCATTCTGTACATCAGATTATTTATTCACTTGATTCTTAGATTCACTTGTTGATAGATGCATGTTTGTTGTTCACAATTTGTATCTTTACCTTTTTCTTCTTCCTCTTCTTAAAGGATACCTTTCAGCATTTCGTATAATACTGGTTTAGTGGTGATGAACTCCTTTAGCTTTTCCTTATCTGTGAAGCTCTTTATCTGACCTTCAATTCTGAATGATAGCTTTGCTGGATAAAGTATTCTTGGTTGTAGGTTCTTGGTATTCAGCACTTTGAATATTTCTTGCCATTCCCTTCTGGCCTGCCAAGTTTCTGTTGAGAAATCAGCTGACAGTCGTATGGGTATTCCCTTGTAGGTAACTGAGTTTCTTTCTCTTGCTGCTTTTAAGATTCTCTCTTTGTCTTTTGCTCTTGGCATTTTAATT